GAAAGGAAAAGTTGTGCATCGTTTTGGTTGCTGGAAAGCGCTTGAATGTTGAATGTATGCATCGACAGCCGATATCCATAGCCTAGGGTTTGTGAACTGAAGGCCAGGGGAGAGAGCGGTGAACGAGGAGTGCAAAGTCGTGCATCTCGCATATGTCCTGTGTTAAGTTTGGTCGGTAGTACGTGCTTGAATATTGAATATATGCGTCGATGATGATAACAACAATCACAATACCAATACGATGTCCATTGCAGGGTGTCAAGTGTCGAGCGTCGTCGAAAATTTCAAACAACGCGGGGTGAGAAAACACAACTCGACGTAGCACGTCGTACACAGCGCTGAAATCCAGCCGGCAAAGGCGTACGACAATGAAACCTTCAATATACGCGTACGTTCGTCGGTGGTAGATTCAAGAGTTGCCAATCCATCCCGGTGGGCGTTACAGTTGTCACTAAGAGCGGAAAAGCTCGAATCGGAATCGAATCGACACGTTCTAAGTGTGCAGATCCATAGTCTCTTCAAAGCCTCTTTAACATCCGGATCGATCCATAGGGTTCTCACATCCCTCTTCAAAGAGTGCGGAACATGTAGTGTTGCGAGTGAAGCGTCTTGGTCTCCTTCTTGTCCGTGAGGTCGACCATGCCTTCACGAGGAGGACTGCTAAACCCAACTGGAGCTCTTGCCAAAGCCTTTTTCCAACACACCAGCCATTCCAGAGGACCCACGCGAAGGCCTAGTTCAGGACTACCTGACCCACGTCTCCCTGATTCTCATATTGAAACTCGCTCCCGCAGGCTCTCCTCCACTTGAACCTCCCTCACCATTTTCCCCTTGTTTGTTGAGCTTGTGGATGGGTAAAATGGTTTTGAGGTGAAAAGGAGGACCCCAGGATCCGGCAGCGTTGGTTGGATAGGTTAAGGTAGTTGTGTTGTATAAACTCGACCGAATCCCGAGAAATATGTTACTGGACAACAAGAGTCGTATGGCACCAGAATGACCATCTACCACCGGAAAGCCAACAAACCACTGATCGGCCAGCAGACCGGCTGAATCAACATTTTCCCACCAACACTAATTGAAGATTAAGTGTGAGTGCTCGCTTCTCTGAGAAGCAGCTATGGTATCAGTGGCAATCACCAAGAAGTAGTATAAGTTCGTTTTCTACTGCATTGTTAGCTATTCGCAGTGAATATTACATTGTTAACGCTCAGGACGTCGAGTAGCACTACGTTTTGTTTCAAGTCACGGCGGAACGCGCGCCAACTGTTAGGACTACAGTACATGTTCTCATAACGCATACGGTCGGGAAGGACCAAAAGTTAATGCATTATAAGATTTATGCAAGCGCAGAAGTATGTCACAGTGAGTGACTGTATGTGACTCGCTATGTGAGCGTGATATTTAGTACCCAAAAACACCCAAAATGGGGGAGAAGTGGGGAAATGACATTAAATATTCAGTTTGGTCAAAGTTTAAGCCTTTTAGGGCTAGAGATTAGACGAACCTGCGCAGTTCGGCATCTTTTCCGGTACATAACCCTACCTTTTTCGGCCTTCTTTGAAGTTCTTTCTATACTAATATTTTCCCATCAGCCAAAGTTCCTGTCTGGTAATGCATAATTGCCCCTGAAACCTTATGCATTATGCGTTATGCGATTTCTCCGCTTCCCGAGGTGGGAAGAGCCCAATCTTGATGCATTATGAGAAATATGCACTAGTAGGTCATGCATTATGAGAACATCTACTGTAGTACAGATGGGAAACTGTGACGTAAGCTCGTTGGTCTCGAATTCCCGTAGGGTACAGCAATCAACGTTTCAACACCAACCCACAGATTTACGAAGCCAGAGTACGCACGAGTCTGCAACTCATCAGGTCTTACCATTCCTGAAGATTTTCAGGTTGTACCGCGAGTTCTATGCAGACAAGAATAGATGTGAAGGCGTGGATTTTATAATTTTATATTTAGTTGTTCCGCAAAGATGGCTGAGAGACTTATGTGCAATTTGGTGAGAGTCGCAGATCAATTTTGCAGCTTTTCCTCATACATATCACATAGACCGGTGATCGGCTCAGCGATGAGTAACTAATTTCAATTGCGATCGCAACTCACACTTCTCTGATGATCATGAGACTCTAGGTGGAAGAACTCGAAGCCGAGCGGCTACCACTCCACCACCACATGGTCAGAAAACATAGCAAAAGCAACTTCAACTCCAAGCTTAACTTCCTGGGGCACCGTTGAGGGATGTAAATGAACGATTCTCTGACCTTACACTTCGTTTCACATCGTTTGAGCAACGGAGACTGGGTCTTACATTTCAACCATCAATCTCGAAGCACCACCATGTTTCGCAATCAATGTGGAAATTTTCTAGCTAATGAGATCACATCCGCCTGGGGCCCCGCAAACTTAGCGAATGCGGGGTGTACGGAATACTAAAATACTACTAAAATAGAGGTCTAGAGGTTGCTATCCCTTAAGTTTCCCTTGTCAAAGAACACCTAGTACTGTGAAGTCATCGGAACGCCATCACCGCTGTCATGAAGGAAGAAAAGTTGAAGGACGAGAAGCACTCTTCCGACTACGATCACCCTCCTCACGATGACTCGCCCACCTTGGCTGAGCAGGCTGGTCAACGAAAAACTGTCACTACAAACTTGGTCGAGAATCCTCTCAGGGTGAGTTTCACATCGTCTCAACCTCCCATTGACTGAATCAAATATACTGATCTCGCTTGTCTTTCACAGCGTACCAGCCCCGAGAAGACTGTTGCCAACGCCCGAGCTTTTGCTGAATCGCATGATCTCGCAGAACATGCAGACCTGTTTGGTCGTGCAGCCCTCGTTGCGCGCGATCCAGACCAATTCGAGAAGCTCACTGAGCTCGACGATGTAGAGCGTGCTGCGCTCATCTACGAGAGGGATCACAAATGGTTCGGCTCAAAGATGCTTTGGTACTCAATATCTCTGTGTGCCATTGGAGCTGCGACACAGGGATGGGATCAAACTGGATCCAACGGCGCCAACTTGTCATTCCCTCAGGAGTTCGGTATTGCTGGCAAAGGCAAAGACGAATGGATTGTTGGTCTTGTCAATTCGATCATCTTCTTAACTGCTGGTCTTATGTGAGTGTATTGCCTGCACCGAAATTTTCATTGTAACTGATAAAATACCCAGCGGCGCTTTCATTGTCGATCCGCTCAACCACTATCTTGGTCGAAGGGGCGAGATTTTCCTCACCGCCGCTTGTCTCACGGCGACTCCTATTGGCTCTGCTTTCGCCAGGTCATGGCAAGGACTATTTGCCGCACGATTTGTCATGGGTATCGGCATTGGTGCAAAAAACGCAACAGTGCCTATTTATTCAGCCGAAATGGCTCCAGCCCGTATTCGCGGTGCCCTCGTGATGTTCTGGCAACTCTGGGTCGTAGCAGGTAAGTTTAGTCTTATCGTTCATCACGACCTACTTGCTAATCATATTTAGGTATCTTCCTTGGCTTCTGCGCCAATGTTATCGTCAAAGACACTGGCCGCATCTCATGGCGTCTCCAGTTAGGCTCAGCATTCATCCCATCCTTCATTCTCCTCTGTGGCATTTGGTTCTGTCCTGAGTCTCCTCGTTGGCTCATGAAACATGGCAAATACGCCAAGGGATTTAGGTCGATGAACCGTTTGCGAGCCAATCCTATCATAGCTGCAAGAGACTACTACTACTCTTGGGTCATTTACGAGGAGGAGCTTGCCATTGCTCGTGGCTCAACCTACTTCTCTCGTCTCTGGGATTGCTTCACAGTGCCTAGAATTAGGCGTGCTAATTATGGCGCTACGACTGTCATGATCGCTCAGCAGATGTGCGGTATTAATAGTATGTTCTTTTCTGTCAAATGTCGTTGATCGCCATTGACGACTTCCAGTCATTTCGTTCTATAGTTCAACTATTTTCGAAAATGTCGGCTACACGCCAGTCCAAGCCTTATACGCGTCGTTGGGCTATGGTGCTATCCAAGTCATAGCTACGATACCCACTCTGTTCCTCATTGATACCAAGGGCCGACGAACCTTGACGCTAGCTGCAAGTCACTGGCACTTGGCGATTCACGAGCAAATGTAATCTGATGTTTCTATGTAGACGTTCCCCGGCATGTGTATCTTCCTACTAGCCGCTGGTCTATCTCTCCTCAACCACTCGGGCAGTCGTGGTGCACAAATTGGACCAGTCGTCTTGTAAGTCTTTAAGAGTACTTCGTATTGTTGATTGAACTAAGTTTTTCTCCCCGACTAGGTTCGTCTATCTCTTCACGATATGCTATTCGTTGGGCGAAGGACCTGTCGCTTTCCAATACTCTGCTGAGGTCTTCCCTACAATTCAGCGTGAACAAGGCATGGCTTGGGCTGTGTGCATTAACAATACCTTCGCTGGTATCCTCAGTTTGACATTTCCTCGGATGAAGACTGTCATGACCCCAACTGGAGCTTTCGGCTTTTACGCTGGTCTCAACCTCATCGCCTGGTTCATGATCTTCTGTTTCGTCCGAGAGACCAAGCAGCTTACTCTGGAAGAAATCGACCGTAAGCGGAGAGATTGATTTATTACATCCACACACCCCGCTAACACCTTTTGTACAGAGGTTTTCTCAATTCCAACGAAGGAATTTATCAGCTACGAATCAAAAGTATGGCTTCCTTATTTCATTAAACGACATGTTCTCCGGCGCAAGATCGCCAAGCCACCACCAATCGTCAAAAAGCAGTACAAAGACGAGGGCTCTCGTGAACTGTAAAACAGGGCTATCCTAGGTCGCTTTCTGTATTTGTTTGACTTCTCCGACTGCGGAACTGTAATATTGCTAATCCGCAATTTTATACTTTATCAATTGGAACCATATCATGAATGCTCTCGCAGCGACGCCTTTAGTTATTGTACGCAATCAGCGTTTGAGCGAATTGACGAAAAACTTCTTTTGTTATGATACTGGCATTACTAGAAACCTCATCAACGGTTCAATGGTCTAGTGGTTATGATTTCTGTCTCACACAATGAACACAGAAGGTCTCCAGTTCGATCCTGGATTGAACCACTTTTTCATCTGTTGACTATTGCAGAGTCATTTTATCTTGCCAGATTACCAAACATTTTCATGTTTTCGAGAAATTGATCAATGGAGTTCAGCAGGAGCAAGGAACTACGAAGGAAGTACTTTTTTAAATACTTCATGGCTTGAAGGCTCCAACTGCATTTTTCATTTAACAGCTCGGTTTTTGTAACAGATCAATGCACCACGAATAAAATACTTTGGTTTAATCAGGCCAACAGAGGCGACACAGCAATTGTTCGACAACTTAGTTCAATGAGGCAGATCAAGGTAGTGCAGATACTGTATTCGGGAAGACCAGCAATCTTTTAGGCCGCGTTGATTGTTTTCAACCATTGTATTGCCGCTACATACGTTAAGCTTACCGATTCCTTGGAGATACAGTAAATATTAAATGAGGTTACGAACGTAAGCATCATTGATGCAAACTTCTGGGTGCATTAACCTGAGATATAGTGCATCCAACTAAAATCTATATACATTTGAAATGTTTTAAAAATGAAGAGAAGATCAGTAGAGCTACTCTCACCTGGCGGATCCGTGATTCGAACGTAACCTACTACTGACGAATTCCAAGCATTATCACCTACATTGGCACCGATGAATCACTTCGTCGCTTCTGCCAATTGTCATTGTTCTGCGGTGGGGAAAGTAAGTTATACATGGAGATTTTCTGATAGGCGTCGACGTCGATGTTTGCCTGAAACAAGTCTGAAGGCGAGGACGAGTTCTGGGTCGTGATGCACCTACAGTTGCGGACAAGCAAAGTCATCTACTTGTCTATCTTTGGAACGCGAATTTTTTGACCCAAACTGAGCACAGATCTGAGCTCGCGTGGGCGAAAGAAGCTCAAAAATGGTGTCCAAACCTTTTTCCCACGAGGTTTTCCGCGCGCCAAATTTTTGGGCGAAAATTTCGCAACTTTTTAGGGGTAATACTGCCATTTATGTACTACGCACTTGTCGACGGGCCCCGATCAGCGTGTAGGGCTGCCTCAATCGACATCATCGCTCGCTCTGACACAGCCCGATGCTGTCTTATTGCATTTTTTTTTTTTTTTTGAATCCAAAGGGGCTAGAGGGAGAGCCGTCCCCAACCCACACTCGATCGACCCACAGGTAAATTGAGGGAGTCAGCTGGGATCCCTTGTCGCCGCTAAATTTATACCCCGGTGCACAATAGCAGTCCGGCTCTAATTAAGTACAAGACCCAGAAAGTAATATAATAATATGTAACCCTATACGCTGCGAGTTGATGAGAGAATCTTTGTCTTATTGCATCACCACCAAAGTTATCCCATTCATTATCTGTGTATTCTTCTTCATCCTCATCGACATCAGTGTCACCAAAATCACTTTCATCCTCAGAGTTTTCCCCGCTTGATTCATTATGTGCTTTACCCTCTTCGTCCTCAATCAATTCCTCGTCATCTATCAATTCTTCAACATTTAGCGCCGAATGTGACGCTTTAGGATCGTGCGAGCTGTCAGCAATGGCGGCCGAGAACGTGGGCTCGATGTCCAATTGCGGTTTTTGGTTATTGAGCCCGGATGTATTCTTGGGCTTTTTCGCTGGTCGGCCTCGACGCGCAGACATAATTTTTTTTTGCAAGAGAGGGGTAAGAGTTAAAACAAAGTTTTTTATCATGATCAGACCTAGATCAATGAAAGGCATTCAAAAAACACTTTTCCAAGATTTTAGCTATTTTTTTGGCTGTGCGCCAAAATTTTGGGGTACTTTTTTTCCAAAATCTTCGATTTCGAGAAATCGGCTCGTGCAAAACTCTCAATTAGACTCGTATCTACTATTTCCGATGGTTTTTACACAAATCATGTGCTACGATCTGGCTGGGAAATTCAACCATCAAATTCGCTCAAAGTAGATGACTTTGCTTGTCCGCAACTGTAATTCAACACAGTTGCGTTTTGATCAAACATTAACACCGCCTGCAATTTTTATAGGCTCGCCATTAGAGAAATCGTTAGATAAACACACATGGATCGGGATGAACATAAGAATCGTTGTGGCCCACAATAGAGAGCCTACGTTCGGCTGCCTCAAATTGGACTGATAGGGGCGTGTGATTCCAGCAGGTGTAATAGACCAGGTCTCTCTGATATGATCTCAGTCTTTGACAGTTGTTGTTCCCCACAATCATCTCCAAACTCCCTCCGACGAGGTCATTCCAGGCTTAGCGCTTAGGAGTCAGGCATACACGTAAACGCCTCGCTTATTGTTGTTTTATAAAACACTCCAACGCCGGCCCTCTTCTTGGTGAGAAACACTTGGGCGGCTGCGCCAACTTCACATTTGCTCCTACCAAAGTCATTTATCTGGAAGGACTAAAATCGCCAGAATTTTACGTCGGGCAAACAACTCTTGGGCTGCCGGAGCTATCCAACGTGCCTCTAATAACGTACGACTCTGACAGGCAAACACATTGGTCATCGCTTGTGAATTCGTTCGAGTCTCGCACCATCGGTTCAGGCTACCAACAAGCCGGCTTTTCGGTGTTTTTGGGGGTTTCTACAACAACATATCACTATCATTCGAACGCAGCTTTTTCTTGCTCATTCCGACTTCTTCCCAAACTTGAAACACATCTCGGACTTTCGCCAGACGCAAATTTTGCCCCAAATGTCGTTTTCCCCTCCTGCTCAACGGCTCTCTAATGCGGGCTGTAGTGTCAGTGGAGACCCATCTGTGAGGAAACACGAAGAGGAGCTCATAAACGCCTATGAGGCGGAGGAAGAGAGGATAATCAACGTGTTATCTCGGAAGCTTGAGCAGGTGGGTCAACTGGTCGATTTTTTGACTCGCCAAAGTACTAACAACCTATCATCTATCTGAATAGTTGAGAGAAGACAAGATTGATCTCGAAAACACTCTTGAAGCCGAATCTGAAAGCCATGTGAATCGACTCGCCAAAGAACTAGGCACCCTAAGGGTCGCCAACCAGCAGTTACAGCAGCAACTCCTTCAAACACAACAGCAAGCCGAATCGTCATCTTCATCACCTCAAGTACCCAGAACTTCAAACATCCCTATCAATGGACATAGTCGAACCAGCAGTACCAACTCGGCGGCGTTCCTCGAAAGTGCCGGACCAAGCCCGTCAATGTCCCTTTCTGCGTCTCCAGACACACGTTTGGGTTATCGTGCGTTCATGAATGGGAGCAAGGGTGTCGGGTCTGGAGAGCCGAACGCGGAAATGATGCTGGAGGCGATGAGAAGAGAAAATGAGCATTTGAGGAATCGGCTTGTGGATACGGAGAGGGATTATATCCGGATTTCGAGGTTGAACGAGATTTATCGCGAGGAGTTAATAGAGCATCGACGGAGGGTGAGTTTTTTTTTGTCCACGTTTGAGTACTATTTTGATATCTTAACGACATTCATCATTCTGTCCAGGTTGGGCTTTCAGTGGATAACTTGATTGGACTCGCGGCTGATCCATTTTCCCAACCTACACACCAACGTTCTACATCCTCTTCCTCGTCTTCAAGTCCAGCCGCACACGCGTTCTATTCAAACACATCATCGCCTTCGGCAAGCGTACTTCACATTCCTACCGCTTATGCTGCAAGGCATAACCACAATTCCTCAATGCAAGTTGGTCATATCCCTTCGACATCTCACATTCCGCATCGCAACTACTTCCCAAACGCCCCTGGACCAAGCAACAGCCATACACATAGCGTTCCAATCCCAAGACACGGTGCTCAAGTCCACCGACCAAGACATCTCCCATTATCGAGCATTGAAGATGAAGAGATCCTAGTCGGTACGATGGGAAGCACGCCATCCTCAACTTCGATTGACTCACATTCGCCATATCCCCTCTCACCTGAATCTTCTTCCGCCTCATTCAACCCAGGAAGCTACGTTAGTACATCTACCAATATTACGAGTCCACCTTCGAGCTTGTCAATGGCTATGCCGACCTTTGCTATCCCACAAAGAGGGTTGACCTATCCTTCTGTGCCTCCTCCGTCACTTTCCAGCAGTTTTGGCAGCACGGTTTCGTCTTTCCGAGACCCAAGTCTATCTCCGACAGAGCCACGCAGCCGAAGGAATTCAAATGCAGGAATGAGAAGAGGCAGTATTCCCAATGGGAGAGTTGCTGAGACTGGCAGCCTCAGGAGTTTAAACCATGGCAATAACGCGACACTCAGCAGGGGAGCCAGCTTCGATCGTGGTCCGCTACCAGTTGGCGGGAGAGTAGCGGAGGTGGGAAATCTTGGTGTAGGGAGGAGGAGTCGGGCAGGAAGCTTGCAGCAGGGACATGGCCATGTGGGTCAAGTCCCCCCGACCACGATCGCAGAACTTGATGACACCGACGCGGACTCGATGGAGCTAGGTGCTCCGCCCGACGTTGGAGTTGAAGATCATGACCTGTCATCGACTACTACCAGAGGAATGCTCGCGTCCGTCAGCTCTTTCGTTGGTTTGTCTTCTCTGAAGAAAGACTCTGAAATTCTGCCTGCAAAATCCAGGTAAGTAAGACAATGGGGTGAAGGCTAGGCTTGGCTCGGCCGATGAGGTGGCGGAGAATTTACGGAACAGTTGGCGCGACGATAGGACCGCATGCTAGATGTCATAGATGGCGCCACGCCGACCGATTTTTCCGGCTCCCTGATGATGGCGAAGTTGACGGCGCCTCACGCGAAAAAGATTGATATTTGTTTTCCCTTCGTTTTCTGTCTGTTTCTTATGAACTACTATTCTACTTGACTCTCCTGGCTTAAACCTATGGCACTTTCTATACTACAGACCTTCAGTGTACATAATGTATTAATTGGACTGTTTTTGCATCCGTTGCCACATCAGCATACGCGTCGCGACGTGATCAGGCGGAACTGGAAAAGGCTAATTATGGAACACGTGTTCCCGACGGTGGCAGTGTTTAGTCGGCTAGACCCCGGGTAGCGCGGCGGACTTTGAGTCTTTCAAGGAATCTGATTGGTGGATCAATGGGTTTTCGG